TGGAAACCATCGTCATATATCGTTGCTATTAATGAAAAAAGTCTTATGTAATATTTTTCTACGCTAATTCTATTTGTTCTAAAGGTAACATTTAGTAGAAATAATCATCATATCTATTATTTCTAAAAGGTGTTTTTAAAAGGTGTCGGTACGGCATAACTTCGTCAATTCTTCATCAAATCCAATGATTGACCACACATTTTGAAGATATTCTTCTCCTTCACATGCGAAAAATAGTCCTATCCTCTCGAAATTTCTGTAAAAAAAGTTATGAAGGAAAAGAAACTTTATTCACGAATAACTCAAAAAGTATTCATTTTTTTTTCTCGATTGTACTCATCATAATTAGAAAGATTACTAAATTACCTACAAAACAAACACAAAAATCTTAAAAATCGGACAATTCTACATATTATTCTTCAGAATTTAAAAATATTTCCTAGCAAAACAATTTGGACAAAAATATTTAGTCTATTATGTCAAATGGAATATTGTAATCGACCAAGGAAAAAATATTAATTCATCCCTCACATAATACATAGGATCTACTTATTTCCATATCGTTTTACTATTTCTTCACTAAAAAAAATTGTCTGCGAATTATTCGCCAACTAGTCATTTTTAATGCTCTTTTGTAGTAAAAAAAAACACTCAATTTTTACGTACGATCTTTAGTACTAACATTAGCGATATGTAAATGTATATCTTTTTCAGCTAGTTATTAGTTTGAGAGTTGAAATGATATGTCTAATTAAATTTTCAATTAAAATTGTTACATTTTTACAACACTCTAATAATAATAATTATTATTTTTTGTGGAGATCAAAGGTAATTTGTCAGGCTGCTTTTATTAGTATAAGGAAAGATCTTTACCATTCCAGGGTCCGGATCTTATTAAAACTGAATGGAGCTTCATCTTTTGTTTAGTTTTAATTTGTATTTTTTTCCTCTCATTTGCTAAATGATATTCTTTTTAAAGACATTTTAATATGTTCTTTCAACACCGAGTATTCCAATAAATAATTAAAATGAGGCAACTCAAACCATAATGTTAGTTATATTACAAATAAACAAAATATGGAAAAAAAAAATGAGCGGTTGTTGAATTGATCAAATGTGACTTTATGTACTAGTTATATCCTAAGCAAATATCGGACTTCAAATATCGGTGATCGATATTTTCTTCGATACTATAAACAATTTTGATATCAATAAAAATAATAATTTCCTAGCAGATGCGCGCATCAAAAAATATGTTATTTTCCTCTATAAATTAATTAATGGAAATATCAATTCTTTTACTTTCCTAGGTAAAATTATTTTTTCTAGTTCTGTCAAACTTAGTCATCCACAGCTAATTTCCAGAAATTTCCATTCAATCAATTATGCCCTTCGTTCATCCATAGATTGGATTCAGCTAAATGCTAATTCATTCGCATTCTACATAGATTTCTTTGACAATTCGTGGCCTTGGTTTGAGTTGGCTATAACTAACAAATTTGGGCAAATTGAATTTACCGAGTGTGAAGGGTTCCACGCCCACTATTCAACTCTACTTAGGGACGATATCTGTAGTCGATACCATCGATGGTAAAATATCGATTTTATTTCAATAAATGTATAGTATGCGTGTGTTTTAGTTGTTATTTTGATTAGTTTAGTTATTTTGTTTATATACATTAACTTTTATTATTATTAGTTTCTGTATTATTTATTTTTATTCATTGTAAATAGAGTGTGAATGTGCTCTCTGGACACTATTATAAATATCTTAATTGTGACAGATTAATTTATTCAGAAATATCTGAATAAATGAATTAAAAAAAAAAAAATGCAATAATATCGACTGCCGATGACCATCCCTGGTCCTATACCATGTGCTGTATTTTAGGCTTTTAGGCTTAAAATGTACAGTTTTAAAGATAATTCTTACCGAAAGCCTCTTGGCTGCTATGGTTGTTATGTGATAACTATCATGTGTTAAGTTTTTAAAAATTAACATATTGCTATTTATGATAATCTTCGACGAACTAAAAAAGTGTATCACTATGATCCCTTAAACAAAGAGTTCATAATAAAGTAAAAAACTTTTTTTATAATTAAATATACATTTATGATTTTTATATTTTCAGTGATATATTCTTCTGGTCCAAACAAATACATATGTCTTGAGTGAATTCAATTATGGATTATTGTAACTTCAGGGAACGCAGTCTGTCATCTTTCTCGTGAAACAAGCTAATCACTTATTAAGATAAATTATTACTTTAACAACCGTGCTATGAAGCTTCAACAATCGTGTGTGTTGAATGGTCTGTTTTGATATATTTTTTTTTACCATTTATTAATTATCAGATTGGGTCGACAGGGATTGTTATTTTTAATAAATAAAGAAAAAACTTGGAGGGATTACTCTTGACGGAAAGATGGATACTGAGCCGCCTTAACTCTGCAAACCAGACTTGGAGCATAACACCTGGAACCCCCAAGACGGATCTTGTAGAAACAGTTCATTTATCTCTTGAATCTCATCTCAACTTTATCAGCCAACCCTCCGAAACTAGTTCGTCCTAGTCAAAGTCCGATATATCTAACCATCTAGGCCTCAACGGATGTTGTGTAAATGATAAAACCCACTAACATGATAACACTCGTGGCTATTTTATTCAAATCTTCTTCAATTTTAACTTCGCCTTGGATATTATAGCAACGTTTTCTCTGATATCGACTAACTGGAAGTGACATGTTATAACAACGATTTTGAGGAAATTCATTGTATCAGCGTAAAATTAAATTTTCTTTAGCATTAGGTGTTATTTTTATTGAAATGTTTAACTAGGTTTAAATGCCAATTTTTCCAAATTTCTACCTCTTATTAAGTATCTCTGATTTTGTTTATTTGAAGTAGTTAACCACTTCATATCATAGCTATGGTTATAAAATGGTTAAATATAAACTATGAATGATTTTGATAATTATCTAAAGAAGAAATAAGGGATGATATTGTGGAACCGAAGAAACACGAGCGCGCACCCGAGCTTGACCGAAAGGTTAAGGTAAGCTTCCAAACGTAACACGCACATAATATAGCATACTGTAAACTTACGGAGTTTTCATAAATGCTAGCACTGGTAATATTTAATATTTAAGTGAATTACATTTCCGAAGTGTAGTAGCGCTCGCGTAAAGTCGGCTAGAGTCGACTAATTGTTTTTTGATATGGGTCAGAATATCTCAAAGACTGAAAATCGGACTTGCATGTTGTTAGGGAGGGAGATGTTTATCATTTCATCCTCTTTGTAATGAGCTTTTATTCAACATTACATCTTAACGTGACGCCGTGTTATGGAGGCGAAAAGGAAAAAAAAAATTTCGAAAACGAAATGATAGCGAGTTTTATTGAGGATATGGATTGAAATATCTAAGAAACTCAAAATTGGACCTGCATACTGTAACTTGGGTAATTGTTTAGCATTTCATACTCTTTATAATGAGTTATTATTCAAAATTTCATCTTAACGTGACGCCGTGTTAGAGAGGCGAAAAGGAAAAAAAAATAGTGTCGAAAACCAAATGATAGCGAGTTTTATTGAGGATATGGATTGAAATATCTAATAATAATAATAAGGCTTAGCGAACCCGAAGGCTCGATGCCGACACCACCAATCGCTTGTTACACATCTCCCTCCACCGTTCGCCGTCCAAACCCAGTCCCTTCAGATCGGCTTTAATGCAATCTTCCCACCTTCGCTTCGGTCTACCACTCGGACGCTTACCATTCGGCACAGCAAATATTAACCTTTTAGGAATTCTCTCGTTACTAAGCCCAACAACTTTACAAGCCCATTTGATTCGCCGCGATGAAATTACCTCGATTATATTATCCGGATACAGCTCACGCAATTAGGCGTTGTGTAACCGTCTGAACTCTCCTGTTAACTCATCCTTCTTCGGTCCGAATATTCTACGCAATACTTCATTTTCAAAAACCTTAAGACGCTGCTCATCCCTTAGTGTAAGCGGCCAAGTTTCGCATCCATAAAGAACTGTAGGCAAGATAATTGTTTTATAGATTCTAATATTTAAGTTTCGGGACAAGAGGCGCGAACTAAGTAGTTTTGTCACAGAAAAATAACAAGCATTCCCCGCCTTCAGTCTAACCTTAATCTCTTCTTCAATTTCGTTCTTTCTAGTTATCCTAGAACCTAGATACCTAAATTTATCTACCTGTTCAAACATATTACCATCTATATCGATATCACCAGTAGTATCGCCATTTTTGCAGCTAACCATATATTTTGTTTTATCCACGTTTATTTCGAGTCCTAGTTCTTTCCCGGCTTTCATTAACGTTGTCGTATTTAGTTTTATAGTTTCAACGTCTTCGCTTAACAGTACCAGATCATCAGCATAGCCCAGCACGGATGTTGTCCCGCCCAGATCCAACCCTTTCTCGGTTCGCATTACCTCCCTAATGGCATGTTCTAATGCCAAATTGAACAGGACAGGCGAAAGTGAATCTCCCTGTTTTAAGCCCGAACGAACCTCAAATTTTTCGGACAAATTATTACCGACTGTAACTTTATTGAGTGTCTCGGTCAAGCACATCCTGACTAGATTTACTAGTTTTTTTGGGGATTGAAATATCTAAGAAACTAAAAATTGGACCTGCATACTGTAACTTGGGTGATTGTTTAGCATTTCATACTCTTTATAATGAGCTATTATTTATAATTTATATTTCATATTATTAATCTTGCCTTGTTGTTTTCGCTTCTATCGTGTGGTCTAAAGTACACAGCTTAGTTTTTATATATTTCTATATATTTTTTTTTTATTCATGATATTTACAACTCTATTAAAAAATTAAATACAATAAGTAAATTTGATAACAGAAAATAATAGCATGAAATGACTTGTTGAGAAACTACCCACTGGAAGCACTCTAAAATATATTTATATATATATATATATATATATATTTTTTTTTTTTTTTTTATTCAATTAGGAATAGACCATCGGGAAGCTGTCCTTTCTGTTCCTGAAGCCCCGGGGAGCTGATATACCCGGTTGAAATATTTTATGGGATACTGATAGCAGTGGATGAGGTAGCCGCCAGGCCCAGGTAGCGATAAGGGCATGCGATTGGGCGAGGGTATTACCACCCCCACAGCTACCCTTTGCACTAAAAGCCAGGTCATTTTGTATCGTACCGCAGCCAGGCTAAGCTTCTCTGACCTTTCGCTTATCTACTCTCCCATTCGAGGATTTTTATTTTTATAAGCCAGCTTTATTAATCATGGTTTGATTTACTGTGTAGGTGTAAAAAAAAAAGTTAGAAATGGTTTTTATACGATTAAAAATGACATTTTATTAATTGGACTTCCCTGAAGCTTTGAACAGTGGCATGGTTGCTCCTGATATTATGTAATCAATCTAAAAAAAAAAGACATTTCTTTTATTTAAAAAAAATGATTTTTTTGATATGACAAAATTATTGGTCTACAAAATATTTTTTAAAACCAGAATCTACTTCTATGTTTAATATTGCATTTTTAATAGCGGCTTCTTTAGGATGAGAAATGTTAGTATATAGTTTATTTTCTTTTTATCAGAACATATTTCCGGTTATTATTTAAATTTTTTATGTAAGTAGTTTGAATGTTGAAAACCTTTTGGATAGGGGGTAGTTCCTAGAAATAGGTATAATCTAAATTAGAGTTCAATAAATTTCAAAGATCCTATTGAAAAACATTTTTTTTTCTAAATTTAATTTTTAATTTTAAATTTAATATTTGTCTACAAAATCAGCAACGATTCGCTCCAAAACCCAAGACAATCGTTCCATATTAATTGAAAAAAAAAACACATCAGATTTAATCGAATCAGATATACTTATTTCCTTACAAATTATTATTATTTTTGTAAAGATTGTTTTCTGTTCACTCCTTATTTATTCAAGTAACTGCTTAGTGATACGTTCAGACCTACCATATTAGCAAGAGGCTACAAAAGTTTTTCCTTGCGGCCATATTGTTACCTAAGCTAAATGTCGCGACCCAGGCATTGGAATGACAATATGTAGATATCAATGCTCAAAACTATTCAGAGTCAATCGTTGGTATTTTTTATCTATTCCTGTAATAGTAAATTTTTAACAATCGAAACTTAAGTTAATAATTTATTTTTCATTCGCACATGCTAGAAATATTTATAATCAATAATGAGTAAGCTGTCGGGAAGTTGAATAGTAAATAAGACTTTGATAGGTGTGAGAGAGAACAGAGTGCCCACCGGCACCCCTTTCTATTTTTATTTAAATATTTAGAGATGAGCGAAGAGATCTCTCATTCAACTTCATTTGAACCGTATGCGGATTTTAATTGTGGCCATCTCTTGAACAATCGAAACATCAACTTATTTTTTAGTTCATCCAATAATCTTTTTTTTTTTAACCCACGAATTTCATTTTATACCATGACATTTATCTAACATTCTCTTAAACTAGACCAAAACCTAGAGATAAGGGCCTAATAAGGGCACTCCTAACAGAATAAGGTTTCAATATGAATTACGAAAGTTTATTATTTTACGTAAAATGAACCTTGATTCTAGACAGTTAAGGTTCGAAGCAACGGTAATTATAACCGTTTATTATTTAGACTATTTCATTAATATTTTTAATTTAATAATAACTATTTCTTTTTTAATTAAAAAAAATGTTTAACTTGTATATGTGGCTGAAAACATGTTAATAATAATAATATGAAATAAGTAATTAATTCTAAATTATCTAAAAAAAAATTATATCTTATTTATTATTTATTTATTCATACGTCAATTAAAATAGTAGGATGTATATAATTATAATTGCTTGAAAAATAACTATCTACAGATTACTGTATATCATCGGGTCAAAAAATTATAATAAACGTAGCAACGGCTATTTCTCCGACGATTAAACGGATGTGCGGTGAGAAATCCATAGAGAGGAGCCAGTTTTATTTCCGGTCGGTTTCAGTGGAAAGGATACACAAAGCCCTACCTCCTACCATCCCTCCCCCTCTCCCCCCATAGAAACTGAAATCGTTCTGGAATGGGGAAAATGACAATGGAGAGATAACCTATTGTCTTTATTTAAAAGGCAGAATTAAAAATACCTCTTATACTATATCCTTCTTTCAGAGGTTTCCAAGGCAAAACCCATACGCAACCTAAATACATCGGTCGAATAATTTTCACCTCAGTATAATCATTTATACAAGATATATATATGTTATTCGTTTCACTATATATTGGGTTTATATTGTATATAATAAAATATATCTAAAATTATTTCTCCATTTTATATACATTTGACAAACTCCACATATTATTTCCAATAATCAATTTAAATTAGTAGAATTAATATTTTTCGAATATTCTTAAAAATTTAAATGTCAAATGAAAATTTTTCTTAGTTTGTTAGCAATACAACACATTACAAACTTTTGGAATCGTGAATTATTTAATTAATGTAATAACAATTTTTTAACAATAGAGTATAAAACGTTAAAAGATATATTCTCGTGGAATTCTCAAATTTAACAAAAGTTGGATGGATGTTAAAAAGATAAACGGAAAATTTTATATATACGTTATTTAGGAGGAAGTGGGTGGGGTAAGTACGACCACGGTTCAAGGATTACCTAAAATGATAACTTTTTTAGAAAAAAAAAATTGGTTTATAATTTTAGAACATTTTTATTAAATATCCACCAAAGAGACTGAGAAAATTCGGTTTAGATATCTTGTTTTGTTTTTTTAAATGCTTACATTTTCGCACTCAATGAAAGTTCGACCATGAAACTTTGGTATTTTTGACTTTCAACCCAGGATAACCAAACTTTGTATTTTTGTAAAGCTTAATGTGTAGTTTTCAGAAATATACCTTATTTCGGTACTGGCATAAGAATTAAAAAAAGAGCCGGTTGCACCTCCCCCATAGTAATTCTCTTGAAAAAGCCAAATAAAATCAATAAATCACAAAATAAACCTGATTTTTAAATTTTACTAATTTTGCCAACCACTCCCGCGTTGATTACTCAAGAAAAAGTTCGTATTATAACAAACAAGAAGTGAAAAACAAGTTTTTCACTTTGTACTAAAGAAAATGTGTTCTATTAAAAAATTCTTTAGCAAAGTATTGAACTTAACTAAGAACTTTAAAATTCCGTGTTGGTCTTGTACTGCAGAAGTTAGTTACAAGGCATGAGAGGTATTTTATTATTATAAGTTTGCTGATGGAGTGTATTCTCCTGTTCTGCTTCTAATCCTTCTTCAGGTTCCTCTCTTATTATTTTGACCTGTTTGCTGGATATTCCAAATTCCCTCACATTTTTCATTAGAATATATTTCTATAATTTTTTTTTTAAATCACAAGTAACGTCGCAGGTCTGTATCTTTGTTTTATAAAATAAGTAATTTTTGGAGACATTTATTTTTCTTAACTTCAATAGATTATAGAGGAACAAAACAATATCGCCTAATACTTTAGGAAAAGATATAAAGAAAGTTTATTTAGAACATCATTTATAATAACGATTCAGACGACGAAAAATAATATAGGTTTGTCTTTGTTATTTGGTAATGATGACTTCCAATTAAACAACAATTGAATTTATTTGTTATATTTCCAAATTACATGTTAACGTTTCGGGATATTTACTCCCATCTTCAGAATTACAATCCCAATGTTTTTTTGTTGATGCATGGTCAGGATGCTCCATTGTCAGGTTCTAAATTCATGTTATAATAAATTAAGGTATATAATATCCAGAGCAACATCATGCTTTAGGACCAATTATTGGGTGTCTGCCATGGTGAATCTAGAGTTCATGTAATTTGGAAATACAACAAATAAATTCAATTATTGTTTAATTGGAAGTTATCATTGCCAAATAACAAAGAATAACATACATCTTCCTAGAAAAAAGAATATAGATAGATATTTTATTTGTTTTTGGGGGGTTCCCCATACAAATAGAGCCTAGCTTGGCTATTGTACAATAATATGGTTTTACAAATTTACATAGCATTACATATCATTTAAATATAAATAAACTTTACAATATTTTCCGTTTATAATGGGTTTTACAAAGCACGAAAAACAATAAAAGTTAAAAACATTAAAAAACATAAAACGATTACTGCATAATGATAGTTCAATGAACCTGTTACTATGGTAGAACAATAAAAAATAAAAATATGTATATATACAAACAAAATATTACTTTTAACATAAACTAAAAACAAACACTTAATATAACATGGGCTATGATCAACAATTTTGTGAATGTACTTTTTGTACTCCCATCATATAATAGTAAACTTTGTTTACTTTATCTATACAGTCGATATTCAATATAGTTTCGATGTTGTGGTCTATCAGAAGATTCTGAGATGAAGTTATGGAGGAATTTTTGTCTATATTCATTGTATGCTGGGCAGTGAAGGAGAATGTGGTGTAGACTATTGTGGATAAATTGACTGCATAATATACAAATTTCTTGAGACTCAATCGAAAAAGTTGTGGTTTAGAAAAAAGAATATAAGTTTGGGTATATTTAACCATTTACTGAAAGGTAGCGAAATCTCCCTCCCTCCCCCACACAACTCATTAGTTTGAAGGGCTTATTTTGTTTTACTTATCCAAGGCTCATTACCATGAAAACGCAATATTTAAAAAACCTGTTCGGTTGAAGCGTAGGTTGCCCAAGGCCTGGGTATTACGTTTGATTTCACTTCTACATTTGCGATTGTTTTGTGTTTAGTATTGTTTGCTTGAACTTTACTTCAAAAAAGCTAAACTTCAGCTCCAAAATTTTCACCAGAAATGAGTCATTGGCAACTGCCACCTTGGCATTGTACTGCAATGTTATTTCGCAACTTTAATGGTGGACGAGTTGCCTAGGCAGTAGCAATTATAGTAGATGTGCAATTAATGTTCATTATCCTTAATCAAGCACTTTAAGTGAGTCTAGGAATGCCCATTTAAGCCTCTTAACCCTATAATGATCAGACGTGTCTGCTAACTTCTTTAGTGGCCAAAACAAGATGCAGGAGTATTTGTCCATTGAAAAAAATATATAAAAACTTGTACCATTACGAACTTAGGTTTCTTTCTAAGGAAGTACTGTTTCTTGGTAAATGGTTGTGCAAG